CACTATTTCTAAAGAGTTCGAACAGTGAACACCGAGACAAGACGAAATTGAGAATTATGGAATTTACCAACAAAACTGTGATTCATCTCATCGAGGCATACCGCGATAAGCCACAATTGGGGCAACCAAAGCATGCCGATTATCATCTCAAAGTAAAAAAATTTGACGCGTGATGCAAAATTACAGAGGATTTCGGCTGTAGTATAGACGGAGTTTTTCACACTACCTGCTACCTCGGAGATAAGTACGGGGGATCGGTAGCCGAAACTGCCTGTTTACGCTCCCGGAAACATTGTCAAAGATAGGACACTACAGGGGAGCGTATTTCCTTTCCTCGTTCTTCTTTTACTTTTCTTGTCTTTGTTACAGCGCGCACGAGCATTCGGCTTGACAGTGCGTCAGGTCCTTGGGTGCGCGGAAGATCGTAAAAATGACCCTTTCAAGTGGATTTGCGCCCGTGCGCGGCCGCGCCGTTGCACAAGTGAGTACCCGGCCGTACGAGTGGTAGTTCCTCTAGTGTGAGCGCGAAGAAATCGCGTGCGTTCAACCCTGCGTGGCAGGAATTGTTTTTTGACGAAGGCTACAAATGTGCAGTTTGCGTTATTTATCGCAAAGAACTGAAAGATTTGAAAGTGACCAATTTGAAGAGGCATTTTGCCAAATTACATGAGAAGGAGTACGGGGCATTAACCGTCGACGAGCGACATGAAAAGTTCCGGGATCTGAAAAGAGGATCTGGAACTCCTCAAAGTACAAATACCGTAAGTTCTTTCAATATATTAATATTGTGAATATTAATCATTTTTTCACAGTCAGTACGTGTTTAACACGCAAACTATCATGATCACCCGTGACCTTCATCTTATTTGTTGTACATAATACTTCAACATAATATGTGTCGCATAATAAGAAATTCATGTTGGTCCCATGGGCAATCAGTATCCGTATAAAATTTATGTGGCAGTCAACGTGTTAAAATGTTCAAAACATTGTTAATACTTCATTTGCCATCATTTGCTATACTTCATTTTTATACATATATTAATACACATTATTAATGGAAAAATCTCATTTCTAGTTGCACGAAAGAGCGCTGACAAATAATTACTTGATTGCGCTGGAAGTTGCCAAAAGTGGTCGCTCCTTCTCGGATGGAGAATTTATAAAAAAGATATTCTCCATTATACCAAAATGTGTCCAAAGGAGGCGGAGATGCTGCGTAACATTCGCTTATCAAAACAGTCCATAACGCGACGAATTAAGGAGATGGGCCAAAATGTCCAACAAATAACATTTGAAAAATGTAAAAATTTAATTCAGTTTTCAATTGCTTTGGATGTGTGTGTGAATCCACAGATATCCAAGGGATTTCACAATTGGCTGTTTTTATCAGAGGTGTGAATGCGAAGTTAACTGTTATGGAAGAATTATTTGATTTCTGCGCTTTGCACGATACGGCAACGGGCAACGATATTTTTTCCGCCATCGAGAGTACAATAGATTTCATTAATCTTGATTGGTCCAAATTAGTAACAGTGACCACGGATGGTGCGCCGTCAATGGTCGGCAAGTATAGTGATTTTATGGGCCGCTTCCAAAATAAGCTTATTCGCATATCCAAACAAAAGTGGCACATCTACATCTACATTATAATTTAAATAAATTAATTTTATTCAGTTAATTATATAAATGTGTTAAGACCTACATATACAATAACACAAATTAACAGAAATAGCATTAGTATTTGAAAAGAAATCAAAAAAAGTGTGAGAACGAAGAAAATGCAGCGTAAAAGGATGCAAAACGTGCGCTGGCTCCGGTTTTTCAATGCATCGGTTTCCTCGTGAAGAACAATTATTGTTTAAATGGATCGAAGTTACAAAAGTGAGATCCGTTTCGGAGCAAACACTTGTTTGTGCGTTGCATTTTAAACCATCTGATTATATTAATCTAAGTAAGTGGGAAA